TGTCATTTTATTTTTACAAATTTTTAAAAATTTCTTACATTAAACAAACACAAAAAGAAAGCTTCAAATTTTTTCCTCTACTACAAATGATTATTTTTCATCCAGCAAACGGAAATGAAAATCAAATCACTCAAACAAATCTTATATAATATAATAAGATAATGTGTCATTTTCTCTTCTTTTTTTTTCTCAGCACTATCCTCTTTCATTATGTCTCTTACTTCACATTATGCAAGAAGATTTTTTAAACTTTTAAGAACTGATTGTGACATTGTTTCATCGCCAAAATGTATTCACTTCTTTATGTTTTCTTTCTATTACATAATAAGATCATATGTCATTTTTTTCCTTTTTTTTTCTTCTCGCCACTATTCTCTATCATTATGCCTCTTACTTCACATTATTCAAAAAGATTTTCTAAACTTTTAAGAGCAACATTGTTTCATCGCACAAAAATAGATTCATTTCTTTATGTTTTGTTTCTGGCCCAATGAACAGAAAACCATGTATTATTTGTTTTTGTGAAAAAAATAAAATTTTTATAATAGGCTTCAAATAAATATTGTGTTTGCAGTCTTAGGCTCATCTTTTTCAGAATCAGCTATAAAATGCTGTCATATGGCATCTCAAAAACTGACATGCGTGGTTTTTTTTTTCTTACAATTTCTTTAAAATTTCTTACATCAAACAAACTCAAAAAGAAAGCTTCAATTTTTTTTCTCTTCTACAAATGATTATTTTTCATCCAACAAAAAGAAATAAAAATCAAATCACTCAAATTTTTTTTTAATAATATAATAAGATAATGTGTGATTTTCTCTTTTTTCTCAGCACTATTCTCTTTCATTATGTCTCTTACTTCGCATTATGCAAGAAGAGTTTTTAAACTTTTAATAGCTGACTGTGGCATTGTTTCATCGCCAAAATATATTCACTTCTTTATGTTTTCTTTCTATAACATAATAAGATCATGTCATTTTTTCTCCTTTTTTTCCTAGCACTATTCTCTTTCATTATGCCTCTTACTTCACATTATTCAAAATATTTTCTAAAACTTTAAGAGCTGACTGTAACATTGTTTCATCGCAAATAAATATATTCATTTCTTTATGTTTTCTGTCTGGCCAAATGAACAGAAAACCATGTATTATTTAATTTTGTGAAAACAAAATAGATTTTTTATAATATGCCTCAAATAAATATTGTTCTTCCAGTCTTAGGCTCATCTTGCCAAATATTTTGTTTGAAATTTTAGATATATTAAATTACTAGGAGAAGGTTTTTTTTTCTCTTCTACAGACAATTATTTTTCATCTAACAAACAGAAAGGAAAATCAATAAAAAAAAAAAAAAATTTAGAACCAGCTCTGATATGCTGCTACGTGGCATCTAAAAAACTAACATGTGTCATTTTTTCTCTTTTTTTATAATCTTTACTAAAATTTATTTCATTAAACAAACACTAAAAGAAAGCTTCAGTTTTTTTCTCTCTTATACAAATGATTATTTTTCATCCAAAAAATAGAAAAAAAAATCAAATCACTCAAACAAATTATATATAATATAAGAAGATCATTCGTTACTTTTTCTTTTTTTTCTTCTTTTTTGTCTCATCACCATTTTCTTTCATTATGTCTCTTACTTCACATTATTCAAGGAGATTTTATAAACTTTTAAGAGCTAATTGTGATATTGTCTCATCGCACAAAATAGATTCATTTCTTTATGTTTTCTTTCTGGCCAAATGAACATAAAACCATGTATTATTTGCTTTTTTGAAAAACAAAATTAGATTTTTTTCTCTTGTACGCGCGATTATTTATCATCTAACAAACAAAAACGAAAATCAAATCACTCAGAAAAATATATAAAATTAGTAAGGACTTTTTTTCATAAACAACTCTGATATATTGTCACGCGACATCTTAGAAATTGACATGTATCATTTTTTTCTATTTATATTGTATTTTCTTTCATCGAACAAATACAAAAACAATGTCTCAGTTTTTTCTTCTTCTCTACTAGATTCTCTTTTATTATGTCTCGTATTTCATATTATTTTATATTTTTCTAACTTTTAAGAGTTGACTATGTCATTGTTTCTGTCCGGAAAATAGATTCATTTCTTCATGTTTTTTTTGTAGCAATCAAATAGAAAATCATGCATTGTTTGCCTTAATAAATTCTTTTTATATTAGGGCATCACTACTTACTTCCCTACTGCATCCAACCTCAAACTGCCATCACTATCATAATATGGATTCTACTCTCGAGGATTTTCTTTTCGGTCAACTCCAATGGCAACTTCACTTCCCTAACAGGTTCAAATCTAACATTATTATTTCACCAACTTTTTAATACAAAATTTTAAAAGTATTTACCACTTAGAAACTAATATTTACTGATAAAATTTACTAACATATATAATAAGATTAATTATAAAATTTAAATAGTCAAAATATCACAAATCTGTACAACACGCGAACCTTCTCTTAGTAATATACTAGGTGATAACCCGCGTCACGCAGGTTTATATTTTATAATATATTTTTAAATATATAATTTATATAATATTTTATTTAAATATAATAACAAACTTTTTTTGTAACTGTTAACTATGATAATACATAAATATTTTTTAAATTAATCAATTATTTTTTCATTTATACTTTTAAATGTTATTTTTTATTTTTATTTTTAAATTTATCATACTAAATATTTTTTTGAATTGTTTTCTTAAACTTATAAAAAATAAGAAAGTTTTTTTCATCTTTTTAAATACTTCAAATTTGCTTTAAACTACGATAAATTTTTACAATCACCCTATATTATCATGTGTATATCTTTTAAGAAATTTTAGTGTTAATTTTATATTTATTAGTAATGAGAATTAAAAAAGTTGATGAAAAGTTATTATATGGTAAATGGAAGTTGATAATAATTTATTACAGTTGTGTGCTACATGATGACTTACTTAGATCTTGAAAAGTTATGTTTATTGAAATAAACTTATATGTATCCTTAAAAATTGTGTTTATTAAAATTTATATCCTACTGTGAATTTCCTTACGTGAATACACATGTATGAGTTAAATTTAGTTATTATTATATTTTTTTCCTCGACTTCTTTAATGATTTCTTTTTAGTACAAAAAAATAAATATTTAAGGGTTCACGAACTATATTTTCTTAATAATTATCATATATAGCATATGCACATGTTCTTCTTTTATAAATTTATTTTTTTTTGGTATATGTATACTTTCTAAACCAATACTTTTTAATGATTTAATGTGTGTATTTAGATTTGATTTCATATTTAATATTTGACGTTATATGTTATAAACCGATAAAACTTGCGATTATTTATTTTAGATTTATAATAAATATAATATTTTATTTTAAATATATCAATAATATTATTTTGATTTGGTTAATCTATAGTATATTATTTCACTTATAAGATTAATTTGATTTTAATTTTCTTATAAATTCACATATTAATATTTTAATGAATTATTTATTTTTTTTTAGTTTATATACATCGAATTTCTCAATTTATTTTTTTCTGAATATAATGTTCTTTTCTCTTTTCTGACCACTTTTTTACTATGTATACATATTTATTTATAACCAGCTATGTATCTTGATTCATGTACCGTTTCTGATATCTCAACACATTGAACTCTAGACTCTACTATTTAACTTGGGTATATATTCTATTGACCCGCATATAACGCAGGATTATATTTTATTGTACTTCCTCTATTTCAAAATAAGTGTTATTTTGACATTTTATTTTTGTTTCACAAAAATGTCATTTAATATTTTCAATGCAGTTTTTAAAATTTATTTTCAGTTTTAGTTCTGTTATTTTAACTTTTTAATTAGAGAGAAAAACTGTTTTAGTGTATTGGCAAAACATATAATAGACAGTTACAAAGTTTTTTTAATTTGTGTGAAAAATGTCAAAATGACAATTTTTATAAAACGGAAGGAGTATATTTTTAAATTTATAAATAATAAATCATTTTATTTTAAATAGTTTTAATCATATACACGTGAATTATTTTTGTAAATTTTTTAAATTAGTGAGTTAGCAAAATAAATTATTTTATCATTTTCTTTTAAAATTTAAAATGTTTGATAAAAAAAATATAAAGTATTTTTTTAAAAAATATCAAAATGCTCTAAAATATCACTTGGTTTTTTTATGACTACATTTTCATATTATTATGTATATACAGTATGTATTTTTTCACAAACTTGGGTCATAATCTATCTTATTTTTTTAATTTCCAAAGGTTTCATCATTTTTATTCGAGAGCTGTGCATACAAGCTGCAGAGGCTTAGTGAAGAGAAAGCTAGGATCGTATATACCCAATCATTATTCTTTCTTGTCTCCTTTTTAAGGAAAACAAGCCAAGTCTTCATAAGTTCTATGCGGAAAGCTTTTGGACTCCCTTGGATTTATCGAGTTGCTTGATACAATCCACAAACAGTCCAAAAAATATTGAAAATAAGAGCTCACCTGGAACTATACCACGTTGCTGATGAGTTTTGAAGGCTACGTTCTTTTAGATCTCGGTCGATTTGACTCGATGAAGCTGCAAAGTTTTCCAGCTTTAGAAAAATGGAGATGTAATCATAGATTTGATTTTTTCAGACAAAAATGGAAGCTCACAAGAACAACAATGAAATCTTGTTCTCCGATGCAAGCATAACAACGGGGAATCAAATAGCCTCAAGTTCTGTCCTTTCTACAACTTCAACATGTGTTTCTCTTTGCACCTCTTCTTTGTCGTAGATATATATTCATACAAACTCATCGAACATTATGTTATTTTAATACAAATCAAACTTGCATTGTTGGATCGGTTTGAAGTTCCAATCGGGATCATATAGATTATTTGTAATGAAGAAATGTACGGTAATTTTGATTCATCATCTTAATTCTTAACATAAAATTTTTGATTCTTCATGATGAAATCCTCGGTAAGGCTGTAGATCATGAAGAAACGATCAGGGTGCTAAGCAGGAGGAGCCGTGTGCAGCACAGCGCAATCTTCAACCGCTACAAGGATATCTACGGCAGGTCCATCACTAAGGTATAAGACAACAATAAAAAAAAAAAGACTTGGAATCAATATGCAGGTATAAAGCATTCATACCAGTTTTACTTCATGAGAATGTCCTTTTGATATCTGTAATGATACATGTGATGTCCAGGATCTCCTCAATCACCCTACAAATGATTACCTGAGTGCACTTCGTGCAGCCATCAGGTGCATCAAAAACCCTAACCTGCATCACACAAAGGTAAGATACAACAATTGTATTATCACAAATGTTAAATGTGGTCTCCAATTATATCCTAATATGACCAACTGCTATTCATAATCTTCTATTAGTCTCTTCTGCACCTAGGTTTTGCACAATGCAATCAATACAGTAGGGACTGATGAAGATGCTCTGACCTGTGTGATTGTCACACGAACAAAAAAGGACCTGAAGACGATCAGTGAGCTGTATCTCAAGAGGAACAATGCGAGTCTCGATCAAGCCTTAGCGAAAGAGACATTAGGGGACTACAAGACTTTTCTTCTAGCCTTGCTAGGACATTAAGAAACTTAAGAGTTGATCCTCCAAAATAAAAACCTGAAAACAGTGCTCAAGTAATAATAAAGTTTATGTTTGAATGCTTCTTTAATCACTTCTGTTGTTTAGCTTTTCACAGTAAAACTGGAATTACAAATCATCCATTTTCGTTTAATAAAAGACATTGTTCCAAAGGAACACAAAGGAACTAAACAAACTCACTGAAGATCAGGGAAACATGCACATGTATTTAATATAGGTTCTTTACTTGTCAGCCTCTGCTTACTAAGGCTGCAGCAATACCAGCAACGATCCCAACAGCAGTAACAGCAATTGCAACGCCAATCACACCATCTGCTTTACACAAATTGGAATAGAATTAATTAAGAGAAAGTAAATATATGAGGAAGAGAAATGCCACAAGTACAAATACCATGTGGTTTACCTTTGACAATAGTACAATAGGATCCTCTAAAGCCGTTTATAGTGTCTGAGCCTGTCTGCACTCCGGTTCAACCTTAAAAACCAGAGAAAGAAAGAAGAGCACACTGGTCAATACATCAACAACGATAAGATATTATTATTGTACTATCCATGGATCAGATGGTCAAACCTCCAAGCACCGTTCTATACAATCCCAGCTTCTTCAATAGTTACCGCTTGGATAGTACCCAACAGCAAGGAGATAGATCTTCTCCCTTAGTTTCATCGGACTTGAATCATTAACCACCAAATCTGCGAAACAAAGAAAAACATTTCGCTGCTATCAAACCAGTAACATGGATTGAAATCATCCATCTTTGGACGTACTTTAAGGTAGCTGAGATTCCATAGATGTTAAACATCCACAAGGAAATAAAATTGTAGATTGTAAACATAGAAGTTATTTACCTTCAAGCATAGCTATCCCACACTGTATATCTGCGTGTATCTTTGAATGAACAAGAGCCCACTATAGGCACATGATGCATTCCTTCTTATGCCCTTCGTCTTGGCCTTTCTGGGCTTCTGCAAGCTCTTCCTCACATCCCTGTGAATGATTTTAAAGAATGAAAAGACGCCTTACAAGTTTTGTATACATGTCAAAAAATTAGATAAACACAAAAGAGAATCAAACATCCCAAGAAAATGAAGGAGGTATCAAAACAATTGGGAAATCGTAACCTCGAGGTCCATGAGCCGTCAATTCGGAGGAACAAATGGAGAATCATAAAAGTTACCGAGATGATGTCGACAGCGCACAAGGGAAACTCATCGCCGTAGCCTGAGGCAGTGCCGGAGAGGAAGCCAGAAAAGGAATCGACAAATTTTCCTATCGTCGCATAAATCGTTTCTGTTATTCAATACAGAAGACCATAATAGAGATTTATATTCGGTGGCTTATCGGAATTAACGTAGATAGAATATTGACCTATTTTCGACATTGAAGAGTCGGGAGATAAGACGAAGGATTTGGAAAAGTTAAAAATTTATTAAAAAAAAAATTCAAAGCTGATGTGTCATTGAGAGGGGTGCTGATGTGTCAAGCATTTGTGAAACACAAGTGAGTCTTTATATAATAGACTAGTTGGTGATCCGCGCTATGTACAGCTATGTGAATTATTTTTATACATTTTTTGGTATTATACTTGTTGTATCGTATATCCTTGAAAATTTTAAGATGAATTTCTATTTCTCATCTGTACATGACTCGAATTTTCTATTTTTTTGAAATTCTAGTTTGTGATCTACCCAACACAGCGAATTTGATAATCATTTTATGTAATTTTTATATTATATTTACTGTATCATATAGGTCTGAAGATTTTATGATTTGTTTATTATTTTTATATTGTGTTTGTTATCTATTCAAAATTATTTGGTTAATTCAAAAAAATAAGAAAATAGAACATATATGATATTAAATATCTGAAATATCCATTTGAGAGTTAAAATTCTTAAAATTATATAATGTTCTAAAATTTATCGACTTTTCTGAATTTTCCCAAAATATTTATTATGAAGTTGACTTTCATCCAAATTATTGAGAATTTGTCAATAGATTTTAGATAATAAAATTTCTCGAACCTGTCTCGTTACCCGAATTATCTATTCCATTTTTATTGGATTTTCTTTGGAAATCATTTTCCGTCTTTTTAATTACTAATTTTTATCACACACTCGTAAATTTCCACCTTGAATTTTGAAATACCCAAAGCTAATGTATATCATTATTTTTAGTTTTTATTTTATTTTGGAATTTGATGATTTTTTATTTTCTAACAACACATTATAGTTTAACTTTTTATGTTTGCTATTTTTATATTGAACGTTAATATTAGTTTTTATTGTTTTCTGTCTTTCTAATTGTCAATGCTCTTTAGACACTCGTAAATTTCCGCATTGAATCTTGAAATAAACAGAACTAATATATATCATTATTTATTAGTTTTTTATATTGTATTTTTTTATGACAACATATTGTAATTGTCTTTTTATATTTCCTACTTTTTATATTGAATGTTAATACTATTTTTTTAAAAATATTTTTCATCTTTCTAATAACCAATTCCCATAACATACTCGTAAATTTCCGCCTTGAATCTTGATTTACTCATAGCTAATGTATATCATTATTTTTTTTATAGTACTTTGTTGATTTCTTTTATTTTCTGACAACACATTGTTTGTGTTTTTATGTTTGCTATTTTTTATATTGAATGTTAATTTTTTTTTTAATTACCAATTTCCGTCACACACTTGTAAATTCCCATTTTGAATCATGAAATACTCAGAGCTATTGTATACCTTATTTTTTATTTTGTTATTTTGTATTTTGTTGATTTTTATTTTCTGATAACACATTACAATTGTCGTTATATGTTTGTTATTTTTTATATTAATGTTAACTTTTATTGTTTTCCGTTTTTCTTATTACCAATTCCCATCTCACACTCGTAAATTTCTACAATAAATTTTAAAATACTCAGAGCTAATGTATACAATTATTTTTGTGTGTATTATTTTCTCTTATTTTCTGACAACATATTATAATTGTTTTTTATATTGAATACTAATATTTTGTGTATTATAAATATTTTGCTCTTTTTATATTGAATGTTAAGTTATTTTGCATCTTAAAAGAAATTAAATGAAATTAAATAATGAAGTGGTTGTTGATGTGGCAGCACCGAAAGAGAGAAAAACTTATTTCGTATGTTTGCTATTTTTTATATTAAATTTTAATATTATTTTTTATTATTTTCTGTTTTTCTAGTTATCAATTCTCGTCACACACTCGTAAAGTTTCGTTTTCAATCATAAAATACTTAGAGCTAATGTATATTATTATTTTTTTGTTTTGTTATTTTGTATTTGGTTGGTTTTTATTTTCTGACAATACATTATAATTGTGTTTTTATGTTTGTTATTTTTTATATTGAATGTTAATGTTAATTTATATTTTTCCGTGTTTTAATTACCAATTTCATCATACACTTGCAGAAATCAGCCTTGAATATTAAAATATTTAGAGCTAATGTATTTAATTATTTTGTAGTTTTATTTTATTTTATTTTCTGACAACATATTATAATTGTCTATTTATTTTTGTAATTTTATATTGAATATTAATATTTTGTATATTATAATTACCTTTGAATATTTACTATTTTCTTATATTGAATGTTAATGTTATTTTATGTTTTAAAAGAATTTAAATAACAAAATAATTAATGAAGGGATTGATGAGGTGGCAGCACCAGAAGAGAGAAAAGCTTACTTTATATAATCTTTGAATATTTACTATTTTCTTATATTGAATGTTAATGTTATTTTGTGTTTTAAAAGAATTTAAATAAAAAATAGTTAATGAAGGGATTGATGAGGTGGCAGCACCAGAAGAGAGAAAAGCTTACTTTATATATATAGATTTTATATTGAATATTAATATTTTGTGTATTATAATTACCTTTGAATATTTACTATTTTTTTTATATTGAATGTTAATGTTATTTTGTGTTTTAAAAGAATTTAAATAAAAAAATAATTAATGAAGGGATTGATGAGGTGGCAGCACCAGAAGAGAGAAAAGCTTACTTTATATAATCTTTGAATATTTACTATTTTCTTATATTGAATGTTAATATTATTTTATGTTTTAAAAAAATTTAAATAAAAAATAATTAATGAAGGGATTGATGAGGTGGCAGCACCAGAAGAGAGAAAAGCTTACTTTATATATATAGATATTTATTATGTAATTAATGTATATAAATATATATATGTGTGTTTATAATGATAAATAAAATATTATAAAATAATATATAATGGTAAATGTTATGTGGTGATTAAATGATGATTATATATATGTGTGTATAGTGTGGTAAAAGCACGTATAGCGGATAAGTCGCAATAAGGATTGCAGGTAAGAGCAAGAGTTTTCTTACTTGGCGGTTGATGTGTGGTTGGTCTAGTAGTGCTGGGAATATCATGACCATGACAGGTTGACGAGCTAATGGGCGCCCAAGCAAACAAAGCATGTGCTTGCGGTCCCTTCTAAAATAAGTAAAATTTCGGTCCCAATTTTGATAAAATTTCTTTTAGGCGAGTTGGTTGTACACTCTAATATGAGAAAACAGGTGGTAAGTTTGAATCCCAAACTGTTCTTAAAATAATTATTTTGATTTTTTATATCATTTTATAAGCCTAAATATTTTTTGGGCTTGCATGAATCTCCAGGGCCGGCTCTGCTAATGGGGTGGCCATTAGAACTGTGGGATATAGCGAGTCAACGCGTATAGCATCTGAAATAGAGCGGCCATTAAAACCATGAAATGGAGTAGCCATTAGAACTGTGAACGTGTGGCGCAAGTAGCCATGAAATTTATTCATTGATGAGTGGGTATCATAAGACACATGTTTGACTTCTTATTTTAGTTTTGGACTAGTGATAGTCGTAGTAGCATTCGTGTATGGTTGATTTGTGGGCTCCAAAGCTCACTCTCATTAGATAATCCAAATTACTCATTCCTCTCTTTTAGAGGTGA